GAAGCACTCCCACATTACACGTCCCCGCGCCCCTTGTAGCCCCCACACGCATGCACGCACTCCCGCTTCACACATCTTTTCACCCCATGCAACCCACGCACGTGCGCAAGCCAGCACTCTCACAATACTCGCCCCCTCGTCCCGTGCAACCCACGAACGCTTGCACGCACCCCCTCTTCAAGTGCCCCCTCGCCCCATGCAACTCAGACACGCATGCATGCAAGCACTCCCACAGTAATCGCTTCATCGAACACATGCCCAAAGGAAACCAAACAAGGGACGAAACACGCAAAACCCAAATCACACCCAAACTCTACACCACGCCCCACACAAGTTGCGACGCCCCCCCCCAGGCGTGCCCCGCCATGTAACAACCAAAAATTGGTAATGTCCTTAGCGCGGATAGCGCTCCAAAAAATCGCGATTGGCGCGGGCGACCCGGGTTCGAACCCCGTCGGCAGCAAAATGACATTTTTTGTTTTTCTTGTTTTTGGCCTAATCGCCACGAATCGCAATTCAACGAGACTCTTTACATCAACATTGTATGTTAATACGCTCAGACACGAGATGGGCGCACACACCAGGCTGCAACGTGCGGCTGGAGGGGGGGGGGCGAACGCCCCCCCCCTCCTGTTGCATTTATTTATAATTTCCCCCCCCTAACCCCCCCCTTCTAGCGCCCGACTTACGTGCGCAGCCCAGCTTATTGGCAAGAGAGAAGATGGTGCTTTAGCGTGCGTGCGTGCGGCTTGTACGTCATAGTGAATTAGTTGGCGACAAGCTCATACACGAGTTGGGCGCACACACCAGGCTGCAACGTGCGGCTGGAGGAGAAGGATGTCGTGCCTCGCTTTTCCACAGCTTTGAAAGGTAACAAAAAACAAGACACGCAGGAGTATCAATGGTGGTTGTGCTGTTAACATAACTCGGCAAATGATGCCCTTCAAAAAGACGACGTCTGACGTCGCTTTTCTAGTACGGCATTCTAACTACTTGCCCTTATACTCCAGCGACAATGTTGAGTGGCCGAAGAAGAGAACGGTAAGTATTCACATTCACGCCATAGCTTGGGTACAGACGATTGAACGGCAAACCAGACCTTCACACACCGCAATGCGAAAGGTACTTTCGACAACCACTACATCCACATAAAAAACAAAGGCGTTTTACATAGCATTTATACAGTCTAATGGTATAATGGATTAAAGTGGCTGCTTGCAGTCCAGCAATGACAACGGTGTCTAACACTGACTGCCATGCGTGTCGCAAAGGACCAGAATACGTTATCAAGCTGCAAAATTCGGTAACCTTGCTTTGTAGCGCCGAAGTAACGTAGGAGGCCCACGCCGAAGAGCACCACAGGCGAGTGCGATTCAGCCCGACTCCCAGGGATGGAGTCACTGATACAAGTATGTCCAGCGAAACATTTAAAGAAATACGTTAGCATTGTTACGCTGTCAGAAGCCAGTTGGCCGTATAAGGTGGAAGAGACCAAGTTGGAGGCGCTGTGTGAGTAAGTGCACGTGTGAGGCGCACTGTGTGCTGGGAAGCCCTTGGGAGGACCGGTACATGCGGAAGGACGAGTGCAAGGAGCGCCTTATAGATTAGGGACATCGAGGAAAGGGCTGTGAGCGGCAGGGTGATTAAGAGGGACGTCGTGCTCGGGACAGCACCCCAGCTAACTGGGCTCCTCAACCGATGCAACCCCCCCACACATGCACACATTCTTGCTTTACCCCCCCCCCCCTTCCCCATGCAGCTCCCACACGCATGCAAGTACCCCCGTACTCGCCCCCTCACCCCATGCAACCAACATACGCACCCATGCAAGCACGTTCCTACTCGCGGCCAGTTTTCTCAACACATGCAAGCAAGCCCGCTTTACTCACCCCCTCACCACCTGCAACCCACACACACACATGCCCACATTCCAGCTTATAGCGCCCTCTCGCCCCATTTAGTCCCACACGCATGCAGGCACCCCCGCTTTACACGCCCCTTTGCCTCATGCAACTTACGCACGCGCACATGCCAGCACTCTCACAGTACACGCCCCCTCGTCCCGTGCAACCCACACACGCATGCACGCACACCCGCCTCAAGCGCCCCCTCGCACCATGCAACTCAGACACGCATGCATGCAAGCAATGCCACACTACTCGCCCATTCTGCGTGCGGCTTGTACGTCATAGCGAATGAAATGGCAACAAGCAAAGGACAGTGAAGGGCCCGGGGGGGGGTATGGGGGGGTAAAAAGCCCCCCCCCCCCAGCCGCAAGTTTCCGACTGTTGCGTGCACCCTTCTCAGTTCTCTGATTGTTGGGGTGGCTGGACAATATCACGATACACGATACACGATATGCCTGAGGTTGTGGGCTTAAGTAGTGCAAGGGTGTAAGGAAAAAGGAATGCGCTCCTTGCTTTACCACAGCCTTGAAGGTAACAAAAAAACTCGCAGGAGTATCATAGCTGGTTGTGCTGTTAACATAACTCGGCAAATGATGCCCTTCAAAAAGACGACGTCTGATGTCGCTTTTCTGGTACGGCATTCACACTTCTGCTTGCAGTCCAGCATTGACAACGATGTCTCACACTGACTGCCATACGTGCCGCAAACGACCAAATTACGTTATCAAATTACGTTATCGACTCTTTACATCAACATTGTATGTTAATATGCTCAGACACGAGATGGGCGCACACACCAGGCTGCAACGTGCGGCTGGAGGGGGGGGGGGCTTCGCCCCCCCTAACCCCCCCCCTTCTAGCGCCCAACTTACGTGCGCAGCCCAGCTTATTGGCAAGAGAGAAGATGGTGCTTTAGCGTGCGTGCGTGCGGCTTGTACGTCATAGTGAATTAGTTGGCGACAAGCTCATACACGAGTTGGGCGCACACACCAGGCTGCAACGTGCCCCCCCCCCCTCCAGCCGCAAGTTGCAGCCTACGTTGTAAGCCCAGCTTGGGTCTTTGCTTGTCACCAACTGATGCGCGATAACGAGCCAGCCGCACGCACGCTACAACATTAGCCTTTCGTTGGCCAATAAGCCGGGCTGCGGCTGGTCTTAGCTTGTCGCCAGCTGCACGATTACGCTGGACGCTAAGAAGGGGGGGGGGGTTAGGGGGGGGGGGCGCAGCCCCCCCCCTCCAGCCGCAAGTTGCAGCCTAAGTTGTAAGCCCAGCTTGGGTCTGAGAATATTTACATACATTGTTGATTTAGAAAGTCATAATTGAGTCGCATGCACATGGATACAAGTATATCTAGCCAATATAAGGACAGGGCGAGCCAAAGGAGTCAATGGCAGTGTCTACGTGAAGATGTTGGGCAACCGCATTTGCCAAATGAGCGAGCAAGCATGTAAGAAACGATAGCAAGTTGCATGCTGGTGTTGTTTGGTACTTACCATGACAAATTTGAAAACAACGGGCTCGGACCTCTTCAGCCGAGGTGCTGCTTTCCATCCTTTTGTAACGTGGATCGTAGCAACCATTTCTCTTGAGGTGGTTACGAACCATTCTGTTTGACCTGAGCTTCACGGCCTTTCGATCGACCACTCCATTTACACAAGCAATACTTAGTTGTCACGGCTACCGCATTTGCATTACTTGTTACTGCAAATATCAGGAAACCACAAGGCCTGCCAGCAGCCAAGCCTGCCAAGCGGAAGTGGCGGGCCCACTTGTGGCAGGCAATGCCCATGTCTGACCTAAGCGCCGCGGCATTTGGACATACTACATGAATTCGTCAACGAAAGAAGTATCTATAGTCGAGGTTGAAATGCTTTTATTGCATACTCTAGCCTCTAGTTCTTGCATTTGAAAAGTCCTGTACTGCGTCACCCGAGTTACGCCGTACAAGCTCAACCTGCCGTATTGAGCCTTCCACCAAAAAAGCATCTAAGAGTTCTGCCAATTTCATACATCGTGTGTTGCCTCAGGACGTTAACTTCATGCAGTGTCCTCTGATTCGAACGACAAAGAATGAACCCCTGATACGTTGACATGTAATATACGCAAGCAACTAATAGAAGAACTTTACATATCTTACTTAGTTGATATTCAGTCTTCATCGTTCGAATCGTGTGTTACTCGTTTTCGCAATGCCGCTTCTAGGGCTCAGGCGACGCTGATACAGTATACGAGGGAAAAAAGCTTGGTCTGTGTTGAGCTATATCGCACAGTAGCTGTTATCTCGCTTCAGAGGAGGGGAGCGACGCTCCAATTCGATGGCTGGCAGGCAAATGTTCCTGACGATGCCAGTCCGAGCGCCCTATACAACATGAAATTGAAAACAGTGGACGACAAGGCAAGCTGTCTGCTGGAATGCAGCACTGGGTGTGTCCTGTCTGCTAAGCTCCTCCCGTCATGCTTTACAGGAATGCTCCTTGTTGGGGCTCCTAGGATCCCACGTCAGCTCTCTGAGCTCGTTCAGGTCGTTTCTTCACAAGGACGTGTTTGTGGGTAACTACTTGGAGGAGAAGGAGTAGCGCGCCCCAGCAGCTCAGCTCCTCTTTGTTAGTTACCTTGTAGAGCTGACAAGGCCTAAGGGCCACGAGATAGGCGCTGTAGGCGACTATTTCTGGTTGCAGAAGCCCTGGCTCAAGAAGAAGAAGGTGAGCTAAGAATACCTTTGCAAACGTTGCAGCCAGGGCACTCGGTTCAAGGGTGTATGCTTAAGCTGTATGCTTGCTTTCAGGACCTGGAGGGTGTGCTCGCAGCAGGCAGCGACACAGCTCAGGCTGCCAGTAGTGTCCAGACCAGACGCTTCACTCCCACGGTTTCACTGGCGCTTCGGGCGCAAACATTGGGTGGTGCATCCAGCAGCATGCATGGCGCAGCAACTGCACCCTCCTCGCAAACAACACCTTGCCCAGTCTGCATGCAGCAGCAAACTCACAGCAATGCACGAGCCCAGCCCACCAGGTGAGCATGCATTGTAACGTATCCCTTCCACCCACTGTAGGCATGGGTACCTAGGTACGCCCCTTTACACGCCCCCTTAGGACGCGCCTACCTCCGCCGTTGGGACCGACTGGAGGTCTGGAAACATGTGCCATGGCACGGTCGACGTGGCTACGGGTACTACACTCTCAAATGGGGTAATGCTGGAGGTAAGCATGCGTCCTCTACTCGAGCTAAGATGCCAGTGCATGTAGCCTACCAGATCAAGACCGTTACAAGTGTTGTTTCGCCATTGAGGCTATTGATACTTCAAACCTTGCAGGAAGATATAGATATAAGCTTATGGGATATGGAGCCCAATGAGGATTCCCTGGTCACATTGGGGGTGAATGCATTTCCGCTGGTGAAGCAGCCCCTGCCTCCGCCCCTCTCCCCCACCCATTCCCGCACTCCCCTTCCATGCATGCAGGCCTCCCTTCGCGCTGCCGAGCCGGGCGGCAGCGGAACCAAACGGAGCGGCGCCGACCACGGGTCCCCCAGCAGGATCCCCAGCTCTGAGGTGAGCATGCTGGTGTCGCAGCCCTCGCACCCTTCTGCGGTGCAGCATCTTGTTTATTGCTGGCCGCGGCCGAAGGAGTGTCCTATCCATCAGTGTGCGCCCCTCCCCGCTCCAACACGCGCTTACTTTGCCATTTACAAACGCTGCCGCCCCGCCCCAGCCTCCGCCCCTCTCCCCCGCCCATTCCCGCACTCCGCTTCCATGCATGCAGGCCTCCCTTCGCGCTGCCAAGCCGGGCGGCAGTGGAACCGAGCAAAGAGGCGCCGACCACAGGTCCCCCAGCAGGATCCCCAGCTCTGAGGTGAGCATGCTGGTGTCGCAGCCCTCGCACCCTTCTGCGGTGCAGCATCTTGTTTATTGCTGGCCGCGGTCGAAGAAGTGTCCTATCCATCAGTGTGCGCCCCTCCCCGCTCCAACACGCGCTTACTTTGCCATTTACAAACGCTGCCGCCCCGCCCCAGCCTCCGCCCCTCTCCCCCGCCCATTCCCGCACTCCGCTTCCATGCATGCAGGCCTCCCTTCGCGCTGCCAAGCAAGCCGGGCGGCAGCGAACCAAACAGAGCGGCGCCGACCACAGGTCCCCCAGCAGGCTAGGAGCCCCAGCCCCGAGGTGAGCATGCTGGTGTCGCAGCCCTCGCACCCTTCTGCGGTGCAGCATCTTGTTTATTGCTGGCCGCGGCCGAAGAAGTGTCCTATCCATCAGTGTGCGCCCCTCCCCGCTCCAACACGCACTTACTTTGCCATTTACAAACGCTGCCGCCCCGCCCCGGCCTCCACCCCTCTCCCCCGCCCATTCCCGCACTCTGCTTCCATACATGCAGGCCTCCCTTCGCGCTGCCAAGCAAGCCGGGCGGCAGTGGAACCGAGCGAAGAGGCGCCGACCACAGGTCCCCCAGCAGGAGCCCCAGCCCCGAGGTGAGCATGCTGGTGTCGCAGCCCTCGCACCCTTCTGCGGTGCAGCATCTTGTTTATTGCTGGCCGCGTCCGAAGGAGGGCCCTATCCATCAGGAGCGCCTTGTAGATTAGGGACAGCGAGTGGCAGGGTGATTGAGAGGGACGTCGTGCTCGGGACAGCACCCCAGCTAACTGGTCTCCTCAACCGATGCAACCCCCCCCCCCCCCCACACACACACACATGCACGCATTCTTACTTTACCCACCTCCCTCCCCATGCAGCCCACACATGCATGCAAGTACCCCCGTACTCGCCCCCTCACCCCATGCAACCAACATACGCACCCATGCAAGCACGTTCCTACTCGCGGCCAGTTTTCTCAACACATGAAAGCAAGCCCGCTTTACTCACCCCCTCACCACCTGTAGCCCACACACACATTCCAGCTTAAAGCGCCCTCTCGCCCCAATCCGCCCACACACGCATGCAAGCACCCTCGCTCAACTCGTCCCCTCACTCAATGCAACCCGAGCACGAAGGCATGCAAGCACTCCAACAATAATCGTCCCCTTGCCCCGTGCAACCTGCATACACATGCACGCAATCCTGCTTCACACACCCCATCACCCCATGCAACTCAGACACGCATGCATGCAAGCACTCCTACATTAGTCGCCCCATTGCCCCATGCAATTCAAACCCAAACGCATGGAAGCACTCCCACATTACACGTCCCCGCGCCCCTTGTAGCCCCCACACGCATGCACGCACTCCCGCTTCACACATCTTTTCACCCCATGCAACCCACGCACGTGCGCAAGCCAGCACTCTCACAATACTCGCCCCCTCGTCCCGTGCAACTCACGAACGCTTGCACGCACCCCCTCTTCAAGTGCCCCCTCGCCCCATGCAACTCAGACACGCATGCATGCAAGCACTCCCACATTACACGTCCCCTTGTAGCCCCCACACGCATGCACGCTTTACTCGCCTATTCACCCCATGCATCCCACGCACACACGCATGCCAGCACTCTGACAGTACATGCCCCCTCATCCCGTGCGGCCCACACACGCTCAACATTCCCGCTTCAAGCGCCCTCTCGACACATGCAGCCGAACGCATTAGCACTCCCACATTACTCGCCCCATGCATCCTGCTTCACGTGCCCCCTCGTCCCGAGCAACCCACACACGCACGCCCCATGCAACCCATACATGCACGCCTTCAAGCCCCACAACTTTACTCACCGCCTCACAACCTGCAACCCACACACGAATGCAAGCACCCCCGCTTTACTCGCCCCCTCGTCCCGTGCAACCCGCACACGCATGCATGCACTCCAGCTTTACGCGCCCCTCACCCCATGTGCAACTCAGGCACGCATGCATGCAAGCACTCCCACAGTAATCGCTTCATCGAACACATGCCCAAAGGAAACCAAACAAGGGACGAAACACGCAAAACCCAAATCACACCCAAACTCTACACCACGCCCCACACAAGTTGCGACGGCCCCCCCCAGGCGTGCCCCGCCATGTTAACTTAAGTTTTGGATATGTAAGAAACATATGGCCGCTTTCTGACATGGCAGAATGGCCGAGTGGTCTAAGGCGCTGTGTTTAGGTTCATAAACCCCGCAGTCCGAAAGGGCGCAGGTTCGAACCCTGCTTCTGTCAAAGTTTTGGTTTTACCCGTGCCAAGCAAGAGGAATTAGGCTAGGCAGGCGGGGAGGGGTTCTGACCTGTTTTTTGCCAAACAGCATGCTAAGACGTCAGGAAAAGGGTGCAGGGGGGAAAACCCCGGGCTTACGGCGGGGGCCGACAGTGGGCCCAGCAATCCCAGTGGACACGCAGCAGCTCCTCGACCCAGCCGCCCAAGTAATGCGTCTTCCGACATGACGGCCCCAGGGTAGTCGAGCACTGCCCCGGGATACACCTGCGCAGCGCTGCAACGAGTAAGAAAGGCCCGCAGCACAGGCCGAACCTGAAACAGTATGCCAAAGGCCTACCGACCTCCGTAACAGGCTGCAAGCCCGGTCCCAGAACGGGAAAGTCCAGCCCCCACGAAGGCGCCGGGTCGGCGGACCCGTTGCCGGGAAACCCAAGGTCAACAGCCGTTCCCGGATGCAGAGGAATATTTTCCGTTATGCCCTGAGTGTAGGCCCGAAAGAATTACTCGAGGTAGATTACATACATAGGGCGCTCGCTACCCCTTACCGCCACAGAAAAGTTCAGTGCTCCAGGTGGAGAAGCCGGAAGGCATCTTAACAAACTAACGAACTCGTCGTATGAGAGGCCCGCTGCTCCGTTCGTGCACACCCCTGCACCTGCATGCTTGACTCTTCTCCCTCTTGGTTGCCCCACCCATATCTAACACTGGATGCTGGCAATAAGACATGGTGTTTATACAGTCATTTATGGTATATTTACGTCGCGTTTTGCTAAGAAAGGGTCTCGCACGATGCATACTGTGTACGTCAGGCTAGTTAGGGTCTTTCATAAGCACATTATTGCCGCCGGCAAACATACAGCATGAATGATATACATATATATAAACATATATACATATATATATGTGTGTGTGTCTTCCTTCCACTTGCCAGGTATAAGGTGCAGAATAACATGCCTGGAAATTAAAGGAAAATGCGACTGGGACATGCATGCCGGCACATAATGTTTCAGTGCAACTCCAGTTACATATCTGAAAGCATTTAGGAATCCCATCGTAATTAATAAAGCATTTGGGGCAGGGTGCATCACATTGCTGCACACTTTCTATCTTACCCCTGGACTACAAAAATCGTAAATTGTAATCGCAGACACCATAGTAGTGTGCAAAAGCGCCTCTCGTGGGGGTCGAACCCACGACCACAAGGTTGCATTCTGTTTGCGATCTGCTTTCTTAAAAGCCTTGCGCTCTACCACTGAGCTAGAGAGGCGTAGTTTCCTACATGGTTGCTACCCTTCTTTATAGGGCGTGGGTGATGTTTGGCCCGCCCATGGTTCCTCGCGCTACGCGAGGCCCAAGCCAGGGAAGCAAGGGAACACCCTAAGTGACACCCCGGCAAAGTATCCTAAGCATTCTAAACCGCCATTACATTTGCGCATTCCAGCCCATCTCTTCAAAGCTTAGTAATGTAGTGTACATGGTACTTCCATGTGCCAAAAGCAAGGGAATTGGGTAGGAAAGGGTGTTGGTGCAAGGCTACGATGTGAAAGGCTGTACAAGAGTTCCCATCAGAGATTGTATAAAGGGCTGAAATAATCACAAATTGTATGTTATTTTGGATGCTCCAAAAATATTGCTGAGTGTATATCCTATGCAAATGCAAGTGTCCAGCCCCAGGCATCAAAGTAACGAGAATGTAGATACCGTGCTGCTCAGCTTTCTGATGCTGCTTTTCAGCATGGTGGAAGTCACATGTGTTTTTTCTAGGATGTAGATACCGTATGCAGCGGGGTCCCTGGGTCGCTTGCACCTGCTGCTATGGGCTAGAGGATATCCGGCCGCAATGTCCGCCAGTCTGCTTCCTCAACATGAGGGGGATGGAGGGAGGCGGTTGCCATCAACAATGTGAGGTAAGTCCCTTTCACTACCGGCGTCCATCACCATGTATGCGCGCGCAGCGTCCTCGGCGGACATCTATGCTAAGCGCTACCTAAAATGAGAGTCTAGACCAGAGAGGTCGCTAGTTGGTTCCAGATGGCAAATCGCACTACTGGCACTTAAGGCGCAGTCAGGGGAGCCAGACATTCTTATCGTTACAATGTGAATGACACGACAGTGCAGTACAGACACGGTGGGATCTAGCTACGCATTGAATGTGGAGGTAGCAGATAACCGGCAAGTACCCATGCTAGGGCACGTCCGGATACCAATCCATATCCAACGCTACTTTGACACAATCAAGGCCTTGGTAATGCCTACGTTATTACCAGGCGTTGATGCCATATATACTTGGCATGGATTGGATGGAGAGCAAGCATGGCGTGATCCTGGATATCCCAGCCATGACATGCACACTCACCTCACCAGCAGGCCAGACCCGTAAAACTTACCAACTAATAACCCTTTCATATTGTTGTTACTTTAATATCTAAGCTTTCATACAAACCCTGGGCCGCGGCCTCTTACGCTTGTCGCCGGAGCAATGTCGCCGGAGCAATGTAGCAACGTCGTAGGGCGACGTCGTAGACGGAGTCCGGAGCTAGCGAAGTTAGCGTAGGAAAGGGCCCAATAGAGAGGGGGGGGGGTAGCCGGAGCAATGTAGCGACGTCGTAGGGCGACGTCATAGACGGAGTCCGGAGCTAGCGAAGTTAGCGTAGGAAAGGGGTAAATAGGGAGGGGGGGGGTTCGTGTCGCCGGAGCAATGTAGCGACGTCGTAGGGCGACGTCGTGACCGT